GGGGGCTGGACTCGATCTTCCGAGGTCCCTTCCAGCCCTGATGTCTATGAAATCTATGAAGTCTGCATGGGAGTAGGAGGCCTGGCCTCACCCCTTGCTCCCCTGGTGCTGTTGCCTCGCCCCCACATTAGTGACCTCACTGGTGGCCTGGCCCTGCCCCTGGGTGACCTCACCCCTTGCTTTCATGGCCCTGTGGCCCCGCCTCCACATCAGTGACATCACTGGGGGCTGACCCTGCCTTGGTTCTCATGGTCCTGTGGCCCTGCCCCCACATCCCTGGTGGGCTGGCCTCACCCCGGCTGACCCTACCCCCTCTCCTGGGGTGCTGGGGGACAGGTGGACGAGCTGCGGGGCCGGGCGCGGGAGCTGGAGGAGCGGGAGCGGCGAGAGAGCAAGAAGCTGGCGGACGAGGATGCGCTGCGCCGCATCCGATTGGCCGAGGAGCCGATTGAGCACCTGCAGCGTAAACTGGCCGCCACCAAGCAGGTACGGCCCCCCCCATGGCACCCCGGCGTCTGGGAGGGGCGGGGGGGGGGGGCCTGGCATCTGGGGCCCAGGTGTCCAGGCAGGGGGTGTCTCAGCCCCGGAAGGCCCCTGGTGTCCAGGCAGGGTGTTTCTGACCTGCAGGCATCTGCGTGGGGCAGTATCACCCAGGCGTCTAGGTGGGGGGCATCTCAGCCCCAGGGGACCCAAGCGTCCCAGTCCCAGATGGGCCCAGGAGTCTGGGCGCAGGGCATCATGGCCCCGGAAGGAGCCAGGCATCCAGGCTGGGGGTATCTCGCCCCAAGTGGACCCAGATGCCTGGGCAGGGTTTTTCTCCCCCTTGGGCATCTGGGTGGGAGGTACCTCAGATGGACCCAGGAGTCCGGGTGGGCCTGACACCTCTCCTCCCCCGGTTCCGGCGGCAGGAGGAGGAGGCGCTGCTGTCGGAGATGGACGTGACAGGCCAGGCCTTCGAGGACATGCAGGAGCAGAACCTGCGGCTGCTGCAGCAGCTGCGTGAGAAGGATGACGCCAACTTCAAGCTCATGTCAGAGCGGATCAAGGCCAACCAGATCCACAAGCTGCTGCGCGATGAGAAGGACGAGCTGGCCGACCAGGTGCTTGCCCTCAAGGCCCAGGTACGGCCCCCCTCCCTGAGAACCCAGGCATCTGGGCTTCTGGCCCTGCTGTCTCCCTGGGAGCCCAGGTGTCCGGGCTCCCAGCCCTACCCCGCTCCTCGAGAGCCCAGGCATCCAGCCTCCTGGTCCCAAACTGCTCCCACAGAGCCCAGGAGTCCGGGACCCTACGTATACCCTTGACCCTACCTGTAACCCCTGCCTTTAAGGGCTGTGATACCTCTGCCTAGCGAATCCACGCATCCAGGCTCCCAGCCCCCCTGCTCGTCCCCAGCCCCACTCCCTTCCCAGGGACCCCAGGTGTCCTGGTGCCCAGCCCCCAACCTCTTTCCAGTCTAGAGAACCCAGGTATCCAAGGTCCCGGTTTCACCAGCTGGCCCCTACTCCACTCCCAGAGAACCCAGGTGTCCCATTGGGGGCTATCTCAGCCCCACGTGTCTGGGCAGGGGATATCTCTACCCCAGCGGACTCAGGTGTCCAGGTAGGGGTCATCTTGCCTCGGGGGACCCAGGCACCTGGGTTATTGCCTCCTCCCTCCCGTCCCATGCAGGTGGACGCACAGTTGCAGGTGGTGCAGAAGCTGGAGGAGAAGGAGCGGGTGCTGCAGGGGGCGCTGGGCACCGTAGAGAAGGAGCTGGCACTGCGCTCCCAGGGCCTCGAGCTTCACAAGAGGAAGGTGGGCGCTGCCACGGCACTACTGGGGAGAAGCTTGCAGCCTCAGGGTGCTGCTGGGGGCAGGGAAGCTCTCAGTGTGAGGGGTGCTTCTGGGGGGGAAAGCTGACCACTTCAGGGTGCTGCTGGGGGGAAGCTTGCAGCGTGGGTGGCACTGCTGGGGGAAGCTCACAGCCTTGGCACTTGGAGGAAGCTCGGTGCTGGGGGTGGGGGGGGTGCACATATAGCTGGGGGATTCCAGGTGTTTGGGCAGCAGTATGTCGTGGAGGGGGTGGAGCCTGGGAGGTACCCTCCACCTTCCTGAGGTCACTGCTAGAAGGAAGCTTACAGCACCCTGGCATTTGGGTTTCACTGGGTGGGGACAAGGGTCATAGGTGGGAGGACCCAGGCATCGGGGTGGGGGTGTGTTGGGGTCCTCTGCAACTGGACTTCTGGGTTCCCCACACTCATGACCCCCCCACAGGCGGTGGAGGCTGCCCAGCTGGCTGAGGACCTGAAGGTGCAGCTGGAGCACGTGCAGGCCAAGGTGCGCGAGATCCAGCCCTGCGTGGCCGAGAACCGGGCCGCCAAGGAGAAGGAGTCCTTCAACCTCAAGCGCGCCCAGGTACCGTGCCACCACTGCTGGGGGAAGTCGGCAGCCCTCAGGGCACTGTTTAGGAAAGCCCACAGCCTCAGGGCGTGGTTCAAGGGAAGCCCACAGCCCCTAGCACACTTGGGGGAATTTCACAGCCCCCAGGGCACTGTTCAGGAGAAGCTTGCAGCCCTCAGGGCACTGTTGGGGGAAGCTCACAGCCTTAGGGCATTGTTTGGCGGGGGGTGGAGTTCACAGCTCCCAGGGCACTGTTAGGTGAAGCTCACAGCTGGGGGGCCCTGAGGGGGTCTCCAGTGGGTGGGGGT